CTCAGACTAGCGTAGCTCCGCCCTTGGTGGGTGTCCCAATAGAGTGGCCAAGTACTTTCACTTTGCTCTCTTAGAAGGAAATCAAACCCCTCACGATGTTTGCTTAGAATAGCGTCGTGCAGAGCTCTATTCCCAGACTTATTGGGTAACATCATGAAGTTATCCTTACTGCTAGCATCGTCAAATTTGGATAAGATGACTCTCATTACTCCAATAGCTTTTGCAGCAACATGAAGTTTTGTGTCTTTTCTTACATGTGTCACAATCCGCAAAAAATTATTATCAACAAGCAGCTCTGTGATCCTTGTTCTCCCATGTTCAGCTGCAACATGACGTGACGAATCACCTTTGGGAGTGGCTTGATGTAAGACCGTGGAACAATCAAGTTGTTTTTCTCTACATACTCTGTCCAACATGTCTAGAAATTTATTTACATCTTCATGCTCATCATGGACGGCGTTGTACAGTTGATAATTCATGGTGTCATCGTTAACGCCAATGTGAACATGATTGATTGATGAAACGAACCGTTTCTTTCCTGCAATCTTCTGTAGCATGGTCCTTCCAGTTTGAATTATTAGCCTCCATAGGAATTTCCACCTGATCGGACTTTCTTGCAGAAAATAATGCGAAACAAGATGTGCAATCAGAAGAGTAGCAAGAGAAGAAATAAACTTGAAAGAGATGAAAACAACTCATCAAGAACAAGAGAGTTTTAAAGCTGAGGAAACGGAAGAAATGAAAATGAAATCCGAGAAAAAGACGCATGCAGGACTACTGGACTAAATTTTTTAAAGTTATGATTCGCGAGCATGCACAATCAAGAAAAACAAAGGTATGATTAAATGGTTGCATGATTTCATAAAGTGGCTATATTTTATGTTCAAGAATAAATTAATATGAACAATAGATGCTAATTAATTACAATAGACAGCTAGGTTAGTGTAGTAGTGTTTAGGAAAAAATGGGTATGATTAAATGGTAGCCCTTTTTCATAGTAGTATTTGTTCAATGATGAGGGGTTAAAACGAATGGACGGCTAGGTTAGTGTATGGAACGAATTTAATTAATTATAAAGTGTTTATCGTCCTTTGTCCTTCATATATTTATAATACCTGCTTTTATCTTTATAATCAGCCAATCACTTTTGCCTTTGGTAGGGCACTTTGCTCTGTGTAATCAGAGTCATTTCCTTATTTGTTCCTTAAGTAATTACCATCAACTTCTGGCCAAAAAAAAAAAAATTATCGTAAACTTCTGCCAATGACGGACCAGCTGGTACAAGATAGAAACAAGAAGATAACAACAAAAGAAAACAGGTCAGACACAACAGAGACAGAATTAAAAAATAAAAAGCAAAAACGCAACTTGATTCAAGGAACACCACCGTGCGGAAACTTCAAATATAAAAAATGTTAATATAGTGTATCATATAGTAGTAAATATAAAAAAGACATTGTCACAAGGGACTAAACACTAAAGTATCAGTAGTTCCTGTACAATATATATATATATATATATATTCATTCTCCATTCAAAGTGATGTGAAAACCTACGATTAATTTTTTGTTATGACTGAAGTCTACCAAAAGAAAATATACCTCGATTACAAGGAAGAATAACAATTTAGTCTCAGAAGAAAATTAACGTGATAAGTACATATTTTTACTTTTTTTTTATAGACAGATAGGTATAAATTTTGGATTATTTTGATAGTATTTATTAATATTTTATACTTATTTAACTAATTTTTATATATTTTCCTCTCATGACTTAATTATAGGATAAGAAAGATTTTTGCTGCAAAATCTTTTCATATTTTTATATTGTGCAGATAATTTATAAACAAGGAAAGAAGAACCAAATCAAGCTGATCCAAAAGAAGAAAACAAAAAATCACGGGGAAAAAGGGAAGAGAAAAGACGAGACGTGCTGGAGGATGAGTTGAAGAAGGAAAAAAGAAAAAAATAATAATAATAAAATAGAAAAAACCAAAAGGAAGAGGCAAACATTGGAGTTGCAGAAACGATAGAAAGATCATATTTGGGCAAAAGAAATGCCAAAATATATTAAATTATGATAAATAATTATTTCAATATCATAATCAACAATTTCACACCATTAAACCAAAACAATAATTAAATGAACAGATAAGATTGGATATAGAGAGATGTTTTGAGATAGAGTATCTAGAGGATTTAAATCCTAAAGTTTCAAAATCTCAATATTTCTAATTGAATTTAAAAAAAAATGAATGAATGAAAGGAAGGAAGTTTAAACTATCAAAAGGTGTTCGGATTAATGCTGATCATAAAGATGAGGATATATAATAAATTAAAACCTATGAAAATTGTAATATGGTATCGAATGCCATTTATGGGTCTTACAAATGGAGGCAAGTGGAGCACGGATAGGCAAATGCAGTGACGGTGAAAGATAACAAAACGGTGAGTCACAGCTTCTAAAATTAATATTAATTAACCTCACGAATGGCTTCTGACTGCATCATTTCCATTGAAGAGGAAGATTTAATTCTAAGGCTTCACAAACTTCTAGGAAGTAAGGGGCACGTTTGTTTTCTATTTTTAAAAATTGCTTTTTGTTTTGAAAAATCAAAAAATTTTAAAATTTGTTTGGACAAGGGTTTTTTATTTAATTGTTTTAATTTTTTTCATTTTTTGTTTTTAAAAACTAAAAAATACAAACAACTTTAAGTTATTTTCATTTTATTTTTCTTGTTTTTAAAATACATTACATTAGATTATTGAAAATTATATTTACCTTCACCAATTTTTATTATCAATTACTATCATTAACTGTCTATAACCATCACTATCAGTCCATTTTATAATTTTAAAATTGTTTTTTAATTGATATAACTAAATGAATTTTTATTTTGTTTTGTTTCAAAAATAATTTTCAAAACTGTATTACAAAATAGTTTTTAAAAATAAAAAATAAAAATAGAAACCAAACAGGCCCAAGTATTCCCTCTTGTCCTATTTGTTAGTCACATTTTATAAGATTTCCTTGGTCTTTCATGGAAGTCATTCTCCATTTTTTTTTTTTACAATCTTTGATACACAATTTCGTAAGCACCCTTCAACAAATTCTAAAAGCAAGTGGACTATTTCAATTTTCAATATGGCCACAAGCATGAGTGTGTTGACTGCTTCCTTCATCTTTGGATACTACGGGTTGTACACCCAACAATTTTGCCTCTAGTCGGACACCGGCCCGTTTTAAGATCTGCTTTGCCATGTCCTACTTGGTAAGATACATATGTTACATTTTATAAAACAAGTGTCTAGATAGAATCAAAACCTTAAAAAATATTCATCATAAAAAGGAAGACATAATAATTTATAAGTACTGATCATTCCTACCTCACGACTTGTCTCCCCTAGAACATGTACAACATCTCGAGTTGTTAAACCTTGGTTATTCACAAGTTTCACATTGATGTATTGGCCTTATAGTAATTTGAATAGACCCAAAAGATGGAGTTTCTTTGAAGCCAAATGCAATGGGGTATCTCCTTTTAAGTCTCTCTCATTGACAGCTTTCCAATGAAGCTTTCTCTATAGGTATTCTATCATCTTGTGTCGTCCATTCATTGCTGCAATGGGGAGAATGTTTTGTCCTTTACCATTTAGACAAGTTACACAATCAAAGGCTTTGTGAAGCAAGTTCTTGACCATATTAACATGGCTCATTTTCCTAGCAAGATGAATTGGAAGATTCCCATATGAGATTCGTTTAAAAGCAATCAAGGTAGAATTCTCTAACACTCGATGCACAACTTCCTCGTAACCTCTGTCTGCTGCATAGTGAAGGGGAGTGTTTTTGGTTTCATCTCCTTGATACAATAGCTCTTCTCTTACATTCACTATCTCTTGCAACACATCTACACTTTTAACAGTGCACCCAACTATTCATAAACCGGCCATATTCATAAATATCAACTTCTTTTTAAAAAAAAATTATTTCCCTTATCATTTAAGATGTTTAGTTACTAGTAGGATTGACAATTATATCTTTGACTTTTAGTTTTGTTTGAGAATTATTTAAATTTATTTAGTTATTATTATTTTTCAATTTAATTCAAACTCCAGCATTTTTTAGATGGTTTGATTTAGCTTGAGGGGTATAATTTTTATATAGGTTAAAGTTCATTTTTATCTTTGAACTTTTTCAAGGAATGCTAGGCATCCTATATGGATAAGGAGGGCAGTTTTCCAAGGAGCAAAAATCTCCTCCGTTAGTGATCCATTAAACCTATTATTTTCTACTAACATGGGATATTTTTTGTACTAATTTGTCTTTGAACTCTTTTTTTAGGAGTTTGGCATCCTAAAATCTCGTTAAAATAAAATTTAATAAATATGATTAAAATATATAATATTTATTTAGAAAATAATCTTATAAAAAAATTATTATTGATTAACTCTCTTAAATTTTCTAGGTCATTCGTCCCAAATTTAGCTGCAACATGAAGCAATGAATCACCCGCGTAAGTGACTTGCTTGGAAACAATGGACAATCCAAGTCTTCTTTGGTGACATACTTCCTCCAGCACACGAACAAAGCCGTCTACATTTTCATTCTCGACGCGAACAGCCTCGAACAACCCATTGCTGATAATGTATTTCTCGTTGCCATGTAATGGATTATCATCGACTAATCTGAATCATTTGGCTCCCCATGCTTTTCCACGTACGAAAACAAATTTCAGTGTGAATAGCACTCAATGAAATGTAAACTAGTTAGAGGTATTCAAATGAATATGAATACCTACATATAAACTAAGAGGTTTAAGCTGATAATTTGTCACATCCCAAAAATAAAGGGTGACCGGCATAGATGCAAACTATAACGTGCATTCCTGTATGTCTTAAAATGAAAATTCATTTCATTTTTTTAAATAATCAGGTTATATGGAATTTCTAACACTTTTAATACTAATTGTCATAGTAAAGCTTAAATGTTTTTTGTAGAAATTTTAGCAGAACCTCCCTTGTAAATAGGATCTCCTGAAAATTCCACAACACAGAAATTTTTACAAAATATAGTATCAATTAAGAGCTTAGCTCCTTCCAGCCACCAAACAGTATACAAATCAAAATAAAGTCTTAACAACAATCTATATGGAGTGACTAACCTTTCTTCTAAATTTAAAATACATGAGTCTTAAAACATTTATATCAAAAGGTAACAATACCATGAAAAAAATTTTCACCCAGTATAACTGTATTGCCCTTTAGAGGTCGGCGGTAGAATCAACGTCAGGTAATGAATCTGAGATCAAAATAAATTTTTTAGTGAATTGCATCCCCAAACAAAATTTAAAAGAATTAAAATAATAAACTCAAATAATCGTGTAAAATAATTGAAAAGATGATAATTCAATATAATAACTTCATAAATATGTAAATCATAATCATAACCATAAAATGAGAGTGAATTAAAAACACTTTATTCTATAATGGTTAAAGAAAACAAATTACTCATACACAAATCAAAATGGTACACTTGTTCATTGAAACCATCGGAATTTCGAATGAGTGAGTTAATCAAAATTTAAATTTTTAAGGACTTAAGATAACAGGTAACAAACGTGGACCCACAGTCCACGAGAGTAAATAACTAAACACGACTTATACCACAAAAACAAACGTGGATACACAGTCCACAAGGGTAAGTAACCAAATGCAGCCTGAGCTATGAAAACAAACATGGATACACAATCCATGAGGATAAAGCTAACCAAACGTGACCCATAGCTATGAAAATCAAATGCATGTATGATATCCATGAATACCAAATGTGAGGACAAGGCTCACGAGGCAAACTAACTAGTTATTAACCACAGCGTGCTACGGGCTAATAGAACTGCCATTAACAGCAATGTTCTGGTTAGAGTCCTCTCCAAAATCATTTTCAAATATGTGAGAAAATCACCACTATAAAAACATAATTTTTATTTTTAAAATCAAATTCACATGACTAGTTTTAAATTTCAAAACTTGCCAAAATAAAATTTTAGATCTTGCATTAATTGAATAACCAAGAGATTCCAGAGTGTAATAAACAAGAATGCCTTCATCAATCTTGAAAGTATATTTCTTGAGGGAAAATAAATGCATATCTCATAATTCGATTATCTTTCATCATTATTCCATAAACTCTAAGACTAAAATAATTCATAAAAGAAAAATATTTTAGTAAAAGACTATTAATGAATAATTAAATGAGATGCTATTCACTTACTTGTTGAAGTCTCCAATTTCCAAATATTCTTTCTTCAATTTCTACTAGGATTCTTTTCTTCCACACTCCCTATAAAGACATCATAATTAACATTTAATAAATCTTCTTTAATTTATAAAGACTTCCTTCTATTCCTAATACAATTCCAATCAACTATTATCATTTATAATTTCAAAACCAAAATTCATGCTTTAAAATTGGTCCAAGTATTATTATTCATATCACTAACCTCCTTCATATAGCTTTAGCCATGCCACTTTATTTACTTGAGGTAAAATTTTCTCTTAGGCTTTGCACCAATTACTTTAAGTGCATAATTCTAACCATTCAATTAAAATATCCAGCAATTACCATTAACCATACAAACTCCAAGAACCAATGAAACTTCAAAATATTCAAGATCAAGTTCAATTCTTCTAACAAGCATTTTGGCAAACATCTTTCCATTTTCATTCCTAAGCTCTTATCTTTTGACTTCATCCTAATCAAATTCTCAAGATCAACTAGTCCAACAAATAAATTTAAGTGAGCCAAAAATATATACACACATATATCATCACCAAATTCAAATGGATTTCAAGCTCATTTAACTCTATTTATTGCTATTATTATTATTTATTTATTTTTCATTAAACAGCACGACAGTAGCAGAACCAGGACAAAAAATCTGTTCCTCACGCATAGCCACAACAGAACACATTCATACTCCCAACAGAACCAACAATGAAAATGTTTGAATCTTCTCACCTCAACCCAGTAAAATGGAACAGAAAAAGGAGCACAATGAAGCAGCCTATATGTCGCCGAACTGAGAGAAGAAAAGGAAAGAAAACCTACGCACCAACAGAGGAAATCTGAGCGTCTATCTTGGAAGAACAAAACAGAAGGAGATGGGGAATATCGATGGCAAATGGAGAAGAAAAGCTCACGCGCAGGTAACGACAAAACTCTCTCCACGGCAGAAACAAAGAGGAAGAGAATGAAACAAGCAACTGAACAGGGAGAGGAAGAATTGAATACAGCATGCCAGCAAGGAGAAAACCGAGTTAGCAACCATAGATCGAGCTCGCACAGCACCCCCCAGCAGCTCCGACGACTTGGTTCCTTATCCCAACCACAACTCGAACGTGAACGACACAGGGAGAGTAGCGGACGAAGAAGAAAAAACAGAGATGGGAGATATGAAGATGAACCTGAACGTTTCAAAGAAACCATGAGCCTCCTCCGACACCAGTGACGGCAAGGAATGAAGAAGGCAGAGATGAGTCGGTGATGGTAGAGAACGAAGAGCAGCGATCATCCAAACTCCAAATTCTTCTCGCTCCTCCTCACGCTCTGATAAACTGACACTCAAATAAGAGAGAAAATAAATCTGATGGGGGAGGGGTATTTTCGTAATTTCAGAGGAGCAAAAATCGAAATAAAGCCCCTTTTGGTCCTGGCCAGATTCGAATTTGGATGTTGTTGGAATTGAAAGTATACGTGCAAAGCCACCGCTACATCAGCTTTCTTTCTTGCCATCTTAAATATACTTTAAAAAATTATTATATATATATATATATATATATATTTATTTATTTTTTTATTTTATTTTATCAGGTTTATTACATAATTGGTTATTACCCAAGTTCAACTTGTTTTTTTTTTTTTTTTGGCTGAAGGGGAGCCTTTAGTGTGGAAAGTGGAAACTTTGGTGGAAAGAGAGATCGGTAGAGTATTGAGTAATTGGGAATTATCCTTTTCAAATTCAGAATTTATGAATTTTATATTTTTTTTAGCCAAAATGATTTTTTTTTAAAGAAGAGAGAAGCTTTTGTGTTTTATATAAATATAAAATAAAAAATAGGAAAAAATAGAAAATTTTATGAAAAATCATAAATCTCAATTTCAGAACATTGGTTCTCGGAGTAATTAACGCGAAATTTTCACTAATCATGTGATGATGGTATCGTTTTTATGATAAAAGAAATACTTTCATATGATGAACTAGGATGTCTAACGTCCTTATAAATAGCCTCTTAATTTTCTTATAGATGAAAGAGATAGGCGTGACTTTTAACTTTTGAGAAAATACTTTCACATTTTGCCAAGAAATTGAAAAATAGACTGGCAGGATATTAAATCAATGGTTAATAATTAAAATTATAGTCAAACTGTGATTATCATATTGGTAACAAACAAAATATTTTATTATATCAGTCAAAATGCTGGTTTGATAATTTATCAATTCAACTAGATATATTAACATGAATTTTCATACTATACATTTTTGGACAAGGTTATCGAACGTCCTTGTATAAATAGCCTTTTAATTTTCTTACAGATAAGATAGGCGTGGCTTTTCACTTTTGAGGAAGGAAATTCGAAGAAAATAAGAATACTTTCGGCTAAAGTGTATCCAAATTAAATAAGACTTTTGGCTTAAGAAAAAAATGTTAAATGAGAAGAGTATAGGACATCGGCTAGGTCTTTATAATTTGTACTCTATCCATCTAGTTTCTATTATAATATATTTTTAACTATCTTGCTGGAACTAATCAGAGGTAGCTATTAATTTTATTTAAAAATAAAATAAATTTTTAATTTTATCCTTATTCTTTTTTTCCCCAACCACTTTTACGCTTATCTAGCTAAAAACATTTAAATAGGAGTAATATTAAAAAAAATAATTAATAACCCAAGAGTGACTGGGCGTGATATGAATTATGTGTTGGAATATTATTTATGAATTAGCATTAATTAATAAGCCCAATAAATTGGTCCTTATGATCTTGTGTGGACCGTGATAGGTAGACTACACAAGTGAGCCCAATGGACAGAGGCCCAACCCACAACCCAGTAGCCGTTAGTTATTTCCTATCTCTTAACTGACTAAGTCAGAGATAATAGATAATATAATTATTTAATTATTTAATAAGGCGGTTACTGATCTGATCTATATAAGATGATTAGTCGGTAACCACAAACACACGACTCATTTTCTTCAACTTCCATTATCTCTGAACTCTCTGAAGGCTCTGGGGACTTGAGGGTTGTGTACTTGCCTGCACTCGAGGTAATCGAGATTTCTCTAGCACTCATGGATTCTTCAGGTACGCATGAATTACTTTATTCTATCATATTATTATTATATATGTGAATTGAGATATCAGATCCAACACGTGGCATCAGAGCCTGGTTACAAACATCAATCTATATATCTCAATTTATTATTATTTATTTTATGCATATGAGCATGTTCAGATTTTATTAACATGCTTGATAATTTTTTTCTTTTCATTATTATCATTGAAAATGAGTATAAGATTTACTGTATATTGCCGTGCGCCTCTCTCCCTTCTCTTTCCTTTTATTCTTGTTTTAATCAACACCGGGGAGCTTTGGAATCATGGATTCTTCAGTGTTGTCCAAAAAAAAAGGGAGGTTCTGTCATCGCCGACGTTCTCTTTCTGCCTCTTCAAGTTCACGATGTCGCCGTGGAACTGCCACCGTCGTGGTAACTGGCAGCTTCAGGTTCGCCAGCGTCTGGCAACCATTGCACGCCGGCAACACCTTCCTTCTCGTCTTCCAACTCGCGGCTGGAGAGGACCCAGAACGGGTCGTGGAACCAGATCCTAGGGATCCGGTTCTGTGGATTATGGGCCCACAATTTAGTTTGGGCCCAAATCCAAAAAAAAAGGGAGAAGCTGGCGGCGCAAAGGAAACCGGATCCGGTTTCCGTGTTTTGGGCCCAGATGAAATCTGGGCCTGGTTCCAAAAAAAAAAACTTATGTTAATTGCGTTTCGGCCCCAGTTTTAAATTACCTATTTGGGCCCATAATTTCTTGTATTTATGTATTAGCCCTAATATATTTCTAGAAATCACAGTTCAGTCCCTTAACTTCCAGAATTTCAATTTTGACCCAAATCTCTTCCAGAATTACCCCTTTACCCCTGGATGCCTTTTAAAATTTTACCTAAGTTCTAAACTTGTTCCCTAATTCCCAAAAGACCTTAAGGACTTTTAAAATTATTTTTTGTTTTGTCCTAAAGTCATAAAGTTTGCGACTTTGTAAATTATTGATGATGTTTAGGATCTTGTAGCATTGATAATGGATATACCCCATGGTATGACATTATTAATGTGATTTTGATGGTTGGCTTTGAGAATAGGCTAATAGCACTCCTTTAATGTATTAGATATTTATTATACCCTATAGGTATGGAAATGTTTAATGCATTATTTTGTATGGACTTTTGTGTGAGCTAAATCTTTATGATATATGAGCCTTCTTGGTGCATGGTTATAGTTGCATAATTGATAATCGCTTATTGGGAATTCTGTTTTATAATTATGTTGTGCACACATAATTAATATTTCCCATTTTCTGTTTTGTGATTTCAGTTTCTGCTTTTACGCAACTATCCTTTGTGAAGGCTCTTAATGGGACTAACTATGATGACTGGAAAGAGTCTCTCAATATGTATCTGACTATTTCTGAGAAAGATTTAGCTCTGAGAGAGCCCAAGCCTGCGGATCTCTCTTCCGAGTCCAGTGCTTCTGAAATAGCCTTCCGTAAACAATGGAGTGAGTCCAACCGGATCTGTCTAGCGATCATCAAGTACACAATTGAAAAGGGAATTAGGGACAGCATTCCTGAAAATGATACTGCAGTGGAGTACTTGAAAGCTATTGGTAACAAATACAAGAAGCTTGACAAGACTCAAAAGAACTACTATCTGTCACTTCTTGACAATACTCGATACGACGGAGTTTCTGGTGTCAGGGAGCACATTCTGAAGCTTGTTCATTACTATAACAAGCTTAAGTCATATGGGATTGATTTGGGTGAAAGCACCTTGATTTACCGTGTTCTTCAATCACTGCCATCAGAGTACGCATTCTTGAGGATACAACTCACAAGAAGCTGAATGGTCTGTTGACCAGATGATATCAATAGTCACTCAAGAAGAGGAAGCTATAAAGAAGAATTCCTCTCACTCAATAAACTATGTTTCCTATGGCTCTAGCAACAAATCTGGAGGGTCACATAAGAAAAAGGGGAAGAAGCATGATGCCCCAAAGCCTAATAATCCAACCTTTAAGAAGGATGGTGATAAGAGTGAGAAGTCGAGGAAGAAACCCTTTAAAGGGTTATGTAATTATTGCAAGAAACCGGGTCACATTAAAGCTAATTGCTTCAAATTGAAGAACAAACAAGAAAGTGAAGGTACAACTCTTCAAACTGCCCCTCTAGCTCTAGTTTGTTTTGAATCTAACACCATTGAAACTTCCTTTGACTCATGGTGGCTGGATTCTGGTGCCACTGTACATGTTGTGAATTCTCCACAGGGGCTAAGAAACCAGAAGGTTCCAAGTGAGGCACAGAGGTCAGTCTTTGGCATAGCAGGGAGCAAGGCATCGGTTGAATGCATTGGAACTATTTCTTTGTATTTAAATTCTGGTCATATTTTACATTTGAACAATGTTGTTTATGTACCTTCTGCGAAGAGGAATTTAATTTCAACTTCTGCATTGGATATTTGTGGCTATTCATTCTTCCAAGGAAATGAGAAAATTGACATTTGTTTTGATTCCATTAATGTTGGTGTCGCTTCCTTGATATATGGTTTATATCGATTGAATGATTGGTCACTTGAACTTCCTAATCTTCATGTCAATGCTGCTATTGGGCATAAACGTCAAAGGCCCAATGATAATTCCTCTATGTTATGGCATCGTCATTTGGGTCATATCTCTAGAGAGAGATTGGAACGCATGATCAAGCAAGGTGTCTTACGAGACCTTGATTTCTCAGATTTTGAGACTTGTGTTAACTGTATAAAGGGAAAATTCCCTGCTAGAGCTAGAACCAAAGGGGCAAAGAGGTCTGAAAATACTTTAGACCTAATCCATACTGATATCTGTGGACCTATTATGCCTCCGGCTATGGGTGGTTTCAGATATTTCATCACCTTCACGGATGATTACTCTCATCATGGATGGATTGAACTCTTGCGTGAAAAGGGCGAGTCCCTTAATGCATCAAGACCTTTAAAGCAGCAGTCGAATTGAAATCTGGCAAGTTGATCAAGTGTGTGAGATCTGATAGAGGAGGAGAATTTTATGGGAGATATACTGAGACTGGCAGGAACCCTGGGCCATTTGCTTTGTACCTTCAAGAGCATGGCATTGAAGCTCAGTATACTATGCCTGGCACCCCGCAGCAAAATGAGGGTTGCAGAAAGGTGAAATTGTACTCTCATGGATATGGTTAGGAGCATGATCAGTCACTCCTCACTGCCGGAATTCTTGTGAGGTGATGCACTCAAAACTGCTGTTTATATTTTGAATCAAGTTCCTAGCAAGTCAGTTCCAAAGACTCCATATGAGTTGTATTTTAGAAGGACTCCTGCACTGAAGCATATGCGAGTTTGGGGTTGTAAAGCATAAGTAAAACCTTACAATCCACAACAGATTAAGCTTGATGCTAAAACTATTGATGGTTTCTTTATTGGCTATTGCATCGGATCTCGTGGGTACATATTCTATTGTCCAAATCACACTACTAGGGTAATTGAATCTGACTGAGCTTACTTCTTTGAAGATGCCTTAGACAGTGGGAGCTCTGTGCCTAGGCATATTACCTTGCATGACGAAAGTAATATTTTGCCTATGCCTATCTTGACAACTCCTCATGTTGACAGAAATAATGCCGTGGATCAAAATGAAGCTCAAGATGAACCACCTTTAGAGGGTGATAGGGGCATGGTTGTTGAACCGAGACGATCCCAAAGGGTTCACAGGTCTGCTATTCTAGATGATTACATGGTATATTTGCAGGAATTTGATTCAGATGCTATTGATAGCTTAGACCTAATGTGTTACCAGGAGGCTATTTATAGCTCGCATTCTTCTGAATGGTTGGAGGCTATGAGTGAAGAAATTGCCTCTATGTATCACAATCACGTATGGGAGCTTGTAGAGCTACCAAAGGGGTTTAAACCAGTGGGTTGCAAGTGGGTCTTTAAAACAAAACGAAGAGCTAGGGGTGAAATTGATAGATATAAAGCCAGACTTGTAGCTAAAGGCTACAACCAGAAAGAAGGTATTGATTACACAGAAACCTTCTCTTCGGTATCCACCAAAGATGCTTTTAGAGTGGTAATGGCTTTAGTTGCACAGCTTGATCTTAATCTTCACCAGATGGATGTCAAGACTGCGTTCTTGAATGGCGATTTGTATGAAGAAGTCTACATGACACAACCTGATGGTTTTGTTGAATTCGGTAAAGAACATCTAGTGTGCAGATTAAAGAGATCCATCTATGGGTTAAAACAAGCCTCTAGGTAGTGGTATCTGAAATTTGATGAAATTATCACCTCTCTCGGTTTTTGTTGAGAATGTCTCAGATCAGTGCATCTATCAGAAGTTTGATGGAACAATTTTGCCATTCTTGTTCTCTATGTTGATGATATCTTATTAGCCAGCAATTCAATAAATTTCCTCAATGAAATAAAGCACTTATTGTCTTGCCATTTTAACATGAAGGATATGGGTGAAGCCTCCTTTGTTCTTGGGATACAAATTCATCGTGATAGATCTCGTGGTATTCTTGGTTTATCACAGGCCACTTACATTGAGCGGGTACTTAAGAGATTCAAAATGGATTCATGTTCTCCTTCACCTGCTCCTGTACAGAAAGGTGAGCTGTTGTTAAAGTCACAGTGTCCCAAGGATGATAAGAAGAGGGTTGAAATGAGAAAGATACCATACACTTTCGCTGTCGGCAGCCTTATGTATGTTCAAGTGTGTACTCGGCCAGATATAGCCTTTGCCATTGGAGTGCTGGGTCGATACTTAAATGATCCAGGTCCGGATCATTGGAAGGTTGCTAAGAAAGTTATGAGGTATCTTCAAGGTACAAAGAATTATATGTTGACTTACAGAAGATCAAATTCTCTTGAGGTTGTTGGGTATTCTGATTATGACTTTAAAGGATCAGAAGATCTTAAGATTGTTGGCTTTTCAGATTCAGATTTTGCCTCTTGTCTAGATATCGTAAATCCACGACTGGCTATATTTTCATGTTGTCTGGAGGAGCTGTCTCTTGGAAGAGTGTGAAACAAACACTTACAGTAGTTTCATCTATAGAAGCTGAGTATATTACTTGCTTTGAGACTACACATCACGCTATATGGCTGAGGAAATTGATATCTGGCATGCACCTAGTTGAGTCAATATCACGTCCTCTAACCATTTATTGTGATAACAAATCTGCAGTATACTATGCTAACAATCACAAAAATTCCAGTCGTACAAAGCATTTTGATATCAAACTTATGTTTGTGAAAGAGAAAATTGCTGAGTCTCAAACCCGTGTGGTACACATTCCTGGCACGCAGATGCTTGCAGATCCGCTGACTAAGGGCTTACCTGTAGAAGTTTTTCAAAATCATGTAACTTGTATGGGTATTATGAATTCCTTTGATGCCCTAGTTTAGTGAGAGTTTGAGAACCTTCTTTGTTGCAATTTCTCTTTAGGCTTGGTTTTCTTCTGTGAGTTATATTTAGTTCAGTTAGATACGTCTATATCATTTGTATCCCTATAGGATTCAATGATTCTGTTGTGGTACGCTATGCATGTCACTTGTTTCCCCATAGGAATTAGTGATTTATGTTGTTATCTTACTGAGCTGTATTTGAAATAAAATTTCATGTTTTACTCTGATTATGAGATATCATAATCACTTGTTTCCCTATAGGATTCAGTGATTTTGTGGAGTTTCATTTTCTGAATTTTGTTTGTGGCTTGTTTATACAACTTGCTTAATTAATGCAATCCAAGTGGGAGATTGTTGGAATATTATTTATGAATTAGCATTAATTAATAAGCCCAATAAATTGGTCCTTATGATCTTGTGTGGACCGTGATAGGTAGACCACACAAGTGAGCCCAATGGGCAGAGGCCCAACCCACAACCCAGTAGCCGTCAGTTATTTCCTATCTCTTAACTGACTGAGTCAGAGATAATAGATAATATAATTATTTAATTATTTAATAAGGCGGTTACCGATCTGATATATATAAGACGATTAGTCGGTAACCACAAACACACGACTCATTTTCTTCTACTTCCATTATCTCTGAACTCTCTGAAGGCTCTGGGGACTTGAGGGTTGTGTACTTGCCTGCACTCGAGGTAATCGAGATTTCTCTAGCACTCATGGATTCTTCAGGTACGCATGAATTACTTTATTCTATTATATTATTATTATATATGTGAATTGAGATATCAGATCCAACATTATGAAGTCATTTTTTTTGTAGCAATTCGGAAGACATAATCATGTGATCAAGACACCTTATTTTATTTTATAGTATATATTAATAATTTAGCATAACTCTTGTCTTCTGGCTTTGGTTATAATGCTGCCAACCTCAGTGTATCTTTATCTGTCCTTCGTTGATTTCTATATAATGTGATCAAGACATGCTTTATATATATATATATATATATATTGATTGGATTGGATTTGATGAATGAGACCCACCAATTAAATTGACAGTGTGGCTACAAGCTGTAGCCAATAAATTTGACGTTCAGTGGCCGGGAGAGAATCTTTAGATGCATTTGTTTAGTGCAACTATAGTTCAGGCACCTTGATGGTCACGTGGTGTAGAAGAGAGGAGGGAAGTGGGAGAGGAAAGACCAAAATTTTATATAACATGTGTGATCTTCAAGATTTCAACATCAGCATCTTTTATTCCAAAACCACTCTCTTTTCTTCTCTGTAAGTTTCTAATTTACAAATCAGATTGAAACACATGTTTCGCTTTGTTTCTTGCAGCTAGCTGCTCCTGCGTCTTTTTCTATCTCGATCATTTCCATTTCTTCTTGTTCCTCAGCTTTAAACCTCTGTTGTTCTTGAGTTGTTTTATCTCTTTCAAGTCTATTTCTTCTCTTGCTACTCTTCTGATTGCACATCATGCTTTTTGCATTATTTGCTGCAGGATCCTTTAGCATCATCTTATTTCTACTACGAGAAATTCGAACCAGGTGGAAATTCCTATGGAAGCGAAGAATTCAAACTGGAAGACGCCATGCTATGAAAAGCTGCAGGAACTGTTAAAGAAGCGGTTTAGTGCATCAGATAATCAAATTCAAATTGGGCTTATTGAAGATACCATGAGTCATGAGTTGTACAACGCTGTTCGTAATAATAAGAATGATGTAAATAATTTTTTGGATGTTTTAGAGCAAGTATGTAGAGAGAAACAAATTGATTGTTCCACTGTTTTGCATCAAGCCACTCCTACGGGTGATTCTTTGCATCATGTTGCGGCTGAATATGGGAGAGAAAGGATCGCAGAGCTGCTTGTCGATAACAATTTTTCGCTAGTAGTGACAAACAATAGGAAAGACACTGCGATTCATGTTGCCGCAAGAGCTAAAAATATTGGGGTGATGAGAGTCATCTTGTCCAAATTTGACGATGCTAGAAGTAAGGATGACTTTATTATGTTACCAAATAAACTCGGGAAGAGAGCTTTGCATGAAGCTATTCTGAGCAAATATCTTGAGGGGTTGAATTTCCTTTTAAGTGAACAAAGTGAAAGTACTTGGCCTCTCTATTGGGACACTTACCCAGCTGAATCACCAATATATGTGGCTGTACAGATGAGGGATGTGAGAATTCTGTAGCGTCTCTTGCAGATTCCGTTTCCCCCAGGTCGGGTCAGTCATAAGAGCCGTGGGAACTCCCCACTCCATGCTGCCATATCAGAAAACAATATTGGTATGTACATGTGTGCGATGCCAAATTCATTAATAAAAAGGTATGACCCTTAAACTATAGATTCAGAAGCATCCGTAAGCTTAAACTCATTTTTGTTAGTGTAATGTTCCTTTTTAATTTTTCAAAATGGTACAATCTAAACTCTTGCCGTTAACAAAAGTTAATTTTAATTGTTATATAATTGATTAGTTAAAAATTTTGGGTACTTTATTGAACTTTTTTTTTATCTTTTTCTATAATTTTTTATGTCCTTTTTTCTAGATATTTTGATCAATTATAAATTTAATTTAATTTTTGTTAATAATAGAGATGAGATTGTAATATTTTCAAAAATATTATTGGATTAAAAATAAATTCAGGATTCAAGACACTTATAAATATATAATGTATGGCCAATTTACCATTTAATCCTTAATCAAATGCTCCTTTTGTGTTTGTCCCACCATGCTTTCATTTATTATAAATGTTTGTTTGCTTTTACATGTAGCTTTCTTGAAGAATATAGTACATGAAAAAGAGGGGCTCATGTACTTTAGAGATGAACACGGAAATACTCCTCTTCATTATGCAGCATACATTGGTTATGTGGAAGGTGTTCGTGAACTTCTAAACAAATCTAATCTTGTTGTGTTTCAACGGAACTCAAATGGTGATCTTCCGATTCACATTGCTTGCCAAAGTAGCCGTGTTCAAGTGGTTAAACAACTGCTTCGCATAGAATGTCCTTATACCAGATTCTAGCTCAATAATAATGGTCAAAACATTCTACACATTGCAGCAGAGCATGGACAAAACAAAATGGCAAGGTTCCTATTAAAACACTCAAATATCCACCCTGAGAAAAACCTAGATGGAGATGCGCAATTGCATTTGGCTTCAAGAAAACTGTATCTTTGGACACTACTCCATCTATCTCGAGATAAAAGGACAGATGCGAACCTTGTAAACGACAAAGGCTTAAACGCTAGAGATATTGTTTTGATGCAGGCTAAACATCCAATGGCACGTCAAGAGGTATAATTTATAAGTATATATATATATATATATATATCAATCCATTATTTCTCTTGAAGTATTTTCTTAAATGTTTTAACTCTAGATGATTGCATTTTTTATAGAAGACTTTAGAAAGTCATGAACATTTACTTGTTTCATTTGATTACCTCACAGTTTCGAGCAAGTACGATTTTAAGAACAACTGGTGTTCCCCTCAGACAGGATTTGTCGGAAGTACAACACATAGCCAATACAGAATGGAATGTTAAGGATGCAGCCAATACGCTCGCCCTTGTGGCTGTACTTATAGCAACAGTGACATTTGTAGCTAGTTTTCACAGTACCAGGTGGGGTTTACTCTTCTGATGATCCAGTACCTAAAAACAGAGTCATGGCAGTGTTGGCTGATAAAAAACTATTCAAAGTATTCATGGCTTTCAACACGATCTCTATGTATAGCTCCATTTTTGGTTCTATTTTTCTTCTATGGATGCATCTGGGTGATCGTCGTTACGCTATACGAGCTTATTTTCTTGCTAGGCTTTTTGTGCACTTAGCTCTTGGAACGATGCCGGTGGCATTTATGGCTGCTATATATTTGGTTGTGGGCAATAACGCTTCACTTGGAGATCTTGTAAAAGTCATTTCCTTCATCTTCATTTCCTTTATCCTACTTCTTTTCCTTTTAGGATATTTCCCTCTTGGAAATCGCATTCCGCTTCTTTATCAGATTGGAGAACTTATTTTTTTGATTGGTCTTATTTTATTTTAAGGACCTGCAGATAGGCTTCATGAAGCTCGTGATGTCGACCAATTGAACCAGGTATATGGAGTTCTTGGTGCCGATGATGACCCCTAAAGTTCATATGAAGATGACGCAGGTGTTGTTATCCCTAAAGTGTGACAAAGCTTTGAAGAAGGAAATGAAGATGAAATGTGACTTGATTTGGATGTGTGGCACGTATATCTTGGTTTGATACATTTGTGTTGTCATTTACAAATAATCAATATATTTAAGATGCAGGAGTCATATTCATCCTTTTATAATAAAGAAATGGTGGTGGATTGGCCTTGCCTATATGTAGTTTAGTTTCAGGTTGGGGCTAGCCATGAACTCCATTTGTTATTAGGTCAAGCCCATTTCTTTCTCTTGGGCCAATGATAAAGTCCATCTATCTAAATCCATCTATTACCAGAGCTTTTAGTCCTTTCTCGTCTGCCCATAAATTACACATATACCCTCCATACTTTTATATGTCACCATTGGTTCTTTTGGTCTTTTCATCCTAAGGATGATATAAAGATAGCTAGCATTTACTACCCCATGCGATGCACTAGAAGCAAATTGTCACGCCTCGAAAATAAAGAGTGACCGGCATGGATGTGAACCACTTCACATATCCCTATAAGCCTCAAATATGAAAATGCATTCCATTTTTAGAAGAAGAATCAATTAGACTATAAAAATTCTAATAGTTTGATAATAATTGTCATAAAAAAATTTTAATATTTTTGTAAAAATTTCGACAGAACCTCCTCTTTAACTAGAATCTCCCAAAAATTCTACAATAGAAAATTTTTACTAATTATAGTATAAATCAGGAGCGTAGCTCCTTCCAGTCAGCAACCATTATACAAATCAAAAGAAAGTCTATCAACAATCTATGTGGAGCATTAATCTTTCTTTTAAATTAAAATATATATGACTTATATATATGTATATTATCAAAAGTAATAGTACCAATCAAAAATTTCTACCCAATGCAGTTATATTGCCCTTAAAGGTCGATGGTGGAATCAGCGTCAGCTAACAAATCTGAGGCCAAAACAAGTTTTTCAGTGAATAGCATTCTCAACATAAAATTTTAAAATTTAAATTAACAAACTCTAATAATAGTGTGAACTAATTAAAAATAACTCACCAAAATAAATTTGTAATTTGTAATCATAATCGTAAAAAAATGAGAGTAAATTGAAAGCAATTTATGTTATCATTCTTAAAGAAAATAATTTACTCACATATAAATCAAAGTGGTATAATTGCTAGCCAAAATCATGTAAATTTTGAAAATACATATTAATCAACATTTAAAATTTTGAGAACTTAACAGAATAGGTAACAAACGTGGACACACAGTCCACGAGGATAAATAATCAAACGCGGCTTATGCCACGAAAACAAACGTGAACACACAGTCTACAAGAGTAAGTAACCAAACGCAGTCAAAGCTATGAAAAACAAACGTGGACACACAATCCATAAGAGTATATAATCAAACGCGGCTCAGGCCATGGAATCAAACGCGGGTACAAAGCCCACGAATACCAAATGTGAGAACAAAGCTCATGAAACAAACTAGCTAGTATTTAACAACAGCGCTACGGGCTAACGAAGCTGTCGTTAGCAACAGTATTCTATTTAGAGTCCTCTTAAAAATTCACGTTTCAAACATGCGAGAAGAATAATTACTGCTGTAATAAAATTACCATTCTCAATACCAAACTCGCATGAATTGTTTTAATTCTCAAAATTTGCTAAAATCATACTTATAGATAATATACCAAACTTGCAGTAATTTAATAGCCAATACATTTCAAAGCTTAACAACCATACAAAATGCTTTCATCAATCTTGAAAATACACTTTTGAAAATAATAAATGTATGTATCATAACTCATTTGTCCTTCATTAATATTTCATAATTTTCAAAATTAATGTAATTCATAAGAATAAAATATTTCAGAAAAAGGCTATTAAAAATAAATTAAATGGAATTCTATTCACTTACTAGTCAGACCTTCAAATTATTAAAGATATCATTTCCTTTAATTCTGGTTAGGATCTCGTTCTTCCTCACACCCTATCAGGATATAGATAATTAAATAAAATTTTAACAAATTTCCAATCTTAATAGAATTCCAATTAACCATCATTATCTAAAATTCAAAGCCAAATTTATGATTTAAAATTGGTCCAAGCATTATCACTCATCTTTATGACTTCCTCCATAAAGCTTTAGTGATGCCATTCCATTTCTTTGAGATAAAATTTTCTACTAGGTATTTTATCAAACAACATACATGCATAATTTATTAAGTTAATGGTAATATTTTCCTTCCTAAATTTCTGCTTCATTGAAACCTTGCAATATCACCAATTCTATCATTTCCAAATGGAATCCCAATCTGCAATATCATATTGCTTCCTTATACAACCACAATATTCATTTAAATAGAAACTCCTCTTTTTCTATGCATGCACGTACAGTCACAGAGGGGAAAAATTTTTAAAACTCAAATCCTCAACCCATATATATCATATATTATTACCAAGTGTAGATGGGTTTCAAGCTTAAAGTTTCAACCTTCTTCTTTCTATAACAGCATTGGTGATGGTAGAGCAATAATAAAGTGTTGTAGCTCCACACACATAGCAACGACAACAACACACACTTACACATATAGCCAATCCATAAATAAAAGGTCCAAAAATTCCTTACCTCAACTTGACTAGCCCAGATAATAACGGACAGTAGAGGAGGAAGAAGAAGGTCCTTAAATACTGAACAGAAGAGAGAGCTAATGTTGCACATGTTATGGGAAGGAGAAAAATGAAGCTTGCAACAGAACAAGGGTGTCACGCCCCAAAAATTTAAGGTGTGACCGGCACGAAATATGTGTATAAAACCCACATCCCTTAAGTCTTAAACAAATATACTTTGGTCCATGAAAAACTATAGGCATATTTTTTTAATAAAATTTTTAATAGAACTTTCATGTAAATAAGACTTCCTAAATGTATGACAAAGAACAATAATAATCAAATAAAGGGATCTCGCTCCCTACTAAAATATATACAGTCTTTAAAGAAAGACGAGAATCCTACCTACATTATATGTGGAGCAGTTAGGACCAGGCCATGAAATTAATACAGGGTTCAAATTTTCATCAAGCAAAACTTGTTTGAAATAATTCTTCCACTCCACATTAGTGATAAAATGCCTCAAGTAACACCTTGATATATAAGTTCAACTTATACTACCTGAGGCCAAAAATATATTTGCTAGTGAATAACATCCCAACAATAAATAATAGACATAAGTAAAATGAAAAGTTCAAAATAGATATGTATGTTAAAGAAACAAAAATTTCCGTAAAAATTCAATAAACTTCATAATAAAATGTCTCTATAAAAATTCAAAGAAAATCTCAAATCATTGAGCTATCGTAGAAAATGATAATATCACTTGATTTCAAAAAAAAGCACGTAAATGAAATAAATATTTATAAACAAATTACTGAATAAGAATCAATGGAATATAAAATCATCAAATAATTAGATTCATAATTATAGGGACTTATCATAGCAATTAACAACGTGGACACACAGTCCATGAGGGTAAATAACCAAACACGGCTTATGCCATAAAAAATGTGGATACACAATCCACGAGGGTAAGTAACCAAACGCGGCCGAAGCCACAAAACAAACGTGAGTACGATGCTCACAATAACTATCCCTCCGTTCCACATGCGTTGGCCATCGTACAGGGCTAGCACCTCTTATAAACACCCTGTTAGTTAGGTGTACCATCAGTGTTCTGTACAAAGTCCCTTTTTAAAACCATTTTCAAACATGCGAGAAAATCATCACTTTCAAGATACAGTTCTTATTCTTAAAATCAAACTTGTATGAATACTTTTAAGCATTAAAACTTGCCATAATCAAATTTCATATCCAATGCTCATGCTTGCATTTACGGAATAAAAAAATTTTTTAACTTCAAACTTGCATGAATCATTCTCTATATCTCTCCAATATTTGATAGAATAAAAATCTCATAATCAAAGTTCAAACTTGATTTAATTGATCAAATAAAATTTGAAATTTGACAAAGCTAATTTCTCAAGATAAAGTAATGTTAATCAACAAATATTCAATAATCACATTAATGCTATAAAAATGATTTCCAGAAAAATATAATATTTTAGTAAAGAAATTTTGATTAAAAAAAATCAATTGGGATGCTATCCACTTACCTGTAGTATCCTCAAGGCTCCAAACTCATTTCTTATGACTCTATTTGAGCTTTCCTCCTTCTAAACATCACATATTTACATAGATGCTGAAGAAGGAAAAATGATACAGAATAGGGGAGAGCTAGACAAAGCATGTGCACTACCCACAGTGAGGATTTTGGCATTCTCAAGGTTGTCGGTGACTGGACAAGTAACAGGGATGAGGGCGGAGGACAAAGATGGCTAGATCAAAGGCTCGAAGCTACTGAACCGAGAAAAAATCTCCACTCTCTTCCTTTGGTCCAGAACGCATGTGCACTATCGAAAAAGAGAAGAAAAGAAGAGGAAAAATAGGGAAGACTTGGCTGGAGGCAAACAACGAGAACTCACCAAAAAAATCAAGAGGAACAAAGGAGACAGCATTAGCAAAACCCTTTAGGCAAAGGATCCAGAAATGGTGTTATCCTTGTGCTGGGTCTGATCGAGAGGGAGGAAAATAAAAATCTAGATATTAGAAAATTGTGAAAATTACAAAGGAGGGCACAACATTTTCCTATAATAACATAACAAACACGAGCACTTTTGTAATTTTCCCAAAATTTTAAGCTAACAAAATTTAACCCATTGCTTAAAAGAATTCAAACTCTGAATCTTTAAATAAACTATTAGTATAAGTTTTACTAAGTCACCATTCTCTATTTACCATAAAATTTATTTAAATATATAAATTGGAAGAATATTATTATTATTATTTTATTTTTTGTAAATTTTAGGTCATTACAAAGGGAGCAGAAAAACTAGACGCTACTCGTAAGTAAACACAGCAAATGAATCAACAACAACAATCCAGACTTACTACAGCACTGCCGCAGCTTCGGCAACTCGGTCTCTCGTCCCCAGCTACTCGAGGTGATGACATAGATAGAAATAGAGCAGAAAATGAAGAGGAAAAATAGAGACAAGGAGCATATAGAGATCAACCTCGCACAGCCTAAGCTTTACTCTAGCCGACGACCACTGAAATATGAAGGAGAAG